TGTTTCGATTTCTTATGTCTGAGGCCGGACACGGTGGCTCACGCCTGGCAACCTAACAGTTTGGGAGGCCGAAGAGAGAGGATGGCCCGAGCCCAGGGGTTCGGCGACTTGGCGAGACCTCATCCATCTCTACAATAAATCAAAGAATTAGCCAGGCATGGTGGCGTGCGCCTGTACTTGGGAGGCTGAGGCGGAAGAGTCGCCGGAGCCCAGCAGGTCGAGGCTGCCGTGGTCGGGAGCGGCCACTGCACTCCAGCCTGGGGGATGGAGTGAGATTCTGACTCAGAAAAAAAAAAGACAGAAAACTGAGGGCCAGAGGTGCAAATTCATATTTATGTGCAATCATTAAGTATTTCTTGGATGCATTAATAAATGCATGGGTCAGGTGCGGTGGCTCACGCCTGTCATCCCAGCACCTTGGGAGGCTGAGGTGAGTGAATTGCCTGAGCGACAGAGTGAGACTCCAACTCAAAAAATATGTTTATATATATATTTTTTGTAGCCGGGCTCGGTGGCTCAGCCTGCAATCCCGCACTTTGGGAGGCTGAGGTGAGTAGATTGCCTGAGCCCGCGGGTTCAAGACCTGCCTGGGCAACTTGGCGAGACCTCATCTCTACAATAAATCAAAAACTAGCCGGGTGTGGCAGCGCTTGCCTGTAGTTCCAGCTACTCGGAAGGCTGAGGCGGAAGGATCGCCGGAGCCCGGCAGGTCGAGGCTGCGGGGGCTGGGAGTGCACTGCACTCCAGTCTGGGCGACGGAGTGAGACTCCAACTCAGAAAACAAAAAAAAAACAAAAAAAAATTTTTTTTATAGAGATGAGGTCTTGCTGTGTTGCCCAAGCGGATCTCAAACTTCCAGGGCTCAAGCCATCCTCCCTCCTCGGCCTCCTAAAGTGCTGGGATGACAGGCATGGGTCACCACAGCTGGCCGACTCACCACTTTCAAAAGGGAGGCTGGACACCGTGGCTTGTGCCTATAATCCCAGCACTTTGAGAGTCCAGGGCAGGGGGATCGTTTGAGGGCCAGGAGTTCAAGACCAGCTTGAGCAACACAGCCAGACTCTGTCCTTATAAAAAAATGTTTTTCTTTCATTTTTCATTTTTTTGAATTGGAGTCTCACTCCATCGCCCAGGCTGGAGTGCAGGGGCATGCTCACGCCTCACGGCAACCTCAACCTGCTGGGCTCAGGCAATCCTTCTGACTCAGCCTCCCAAATAGCTGGGACTGCAGGCGCATGTCACCACACCTGGCTAATTTTTTTGTAGAGATGGAGTCTTGCTATGTTGCCAGGCTGGTCTCGAACTCCTGGGCTCAAGCAGTTCTCCTGCCTCGGTCTCCCCAGGTGCCAGGATGAAAGGCATGAGCAGCCAGGCTCCATGGCTCAGCCTGTAAAAAGCCTCAGTGCCTTTGGGAGGCTGAGGTGAGTGGATTGCCTGAGCCTGCGGGTTCGAGACCTGTCTGAGCAGTGAGACCTCATCTCTACAATAAATCAAAAAATCAGCCGGGCGTGGTAGCGCGCGCCTATAATTCCGGCTACTCGGAAGGCTGAGGCGGAAGGACCGCCGGAGCCCAGCAGGTCGAGGCTGTGGTGGCCGGGAGCGGCCACTGCACTCCAGTCTGGGTGACAGAGTGAGACTCCAACTCAAAAAAAAAAAGAAAGAAAGGCATGAGCCGCCACAGCCACCCTCAAACTTGATTTTGAAAAATGAAAAACGATGCTTGGGAGAGGAGAACAGGGATGACTTACTAGTTCCTGTAACTGAGAAGTCCAGAGTGGCTTCAGGCATGGCTGGATCCAGGAGCTAGTTTGCCGTCCAGCCCCTCTGGCATGGCCTCTCAACTCTGATTTCCTCTGTATCAGCTTTGTTTCCTGGCCTGCAATCCCTGCAGCTCCTGCCGTCCCCCTCTCCACCCTGCAACCGCTGTGGGAAGTCCTTCTTCCTCCCCCCGCAGTCAACAAAAGTCCCGGGACTGAGTTTCACGGGCCTGTCTGGGGCCAGATGCCCGCCCCTGAAGCCACGCTGTGGCCCGGAATCAGAGGCCCTTCGCTGGCTCAGCCTGGGTCGTGGGCCAGGACCTGGGGGTTCCGGCCAGAGAACTGGGAACTGAGGGCTCCTACGCAACACGGGGTGCCCTAACTCCAAGAAAGGGAGCCACCCGGGGGCAGGCGGAGCTGGGGGCCGGGGAGGCAGGTGCAGGCAGCTCTCGTCGCCAGGCCTGTTCCCCTCGGAAGGCGGTTGTGCGAATCCACGGGGCCCAGCCCGGTCCTGTCTCGGGATTGGCGGCTCGGCGCCCAGCGGCCGTCGGGGACTCCCAGGCAGCGCCCTCCAAAAAGAAAACCCGGTGGGCGAGGGGGGCTCCCTGTCACGTGCCTGCCTGCTCTCCACCCCCCGCACATAGGAGCTGCTCAATAAATGCTCACGATGTGCATAAGGGAGAGAGTGCCCAGACCGAGGCCCAGAGTGGCCAAGGGATTGTTCAGGGGATGCACAGCAAGGGAGATCATTCAAGAAGTGCGTTCAGGGCCGGGCATGGCGGCTCACGCCTGTCATCCCAGCACTTTGGGAGGCCGAGGCAGGAGGATCACTTGCGCCGGGAGTTTGAGACCAGCCTGGGCAACATAGTGAAATCTTGTCTCTCTAAAAAAAAAAAAGGAAAAAAATTTCACCCGGCGTGGTGGCGCCCGTAGTCCCAGCTACTCGGGAGGCTGAGGCGGAAGGATCGCTGGAGCCCAGCGGGGTGAGGCTGCG